AAATGTATGCTATGTCTTCTAATGATGCTGCCTAAGGGAAGCATGTATAATGTAAACAGAATTGGTCCTAGCACTGAACCCTGTGGAACTCCATAATTAACCTCAGTGTGTGAAGTAGATTCTCCATTTATACGAACAAATTGAGTCTGTTAGATAGATATGACACAAACCACTGCAGTGCAGTACCTGTAATACCTACAGCATGCTATATATTGCGATCTTCTGCTGGCGTTCAGCCTGTTAGCGTGTTAGCAGGAAGTCTGCTGAGTTAGCAGAGGATCGGCAGATGATTGGACGATCGTTTTCTTGCACAGATGAGTGGTCTTAACAAAAACTGTATGAGTTTCAACACGACATCAGTGCAAAACCAACACCCCCCTCATTCATTGTCCTCCCTCTCCTCTAGCTCCATCTGGCTTGTGTTGAACTGTTGCTACGCCTGTCTCATGTACCTCTGTTAGCGTAGCAGGTGGCTAACCTTGTCAGCGTCACACACGCAGAAACACAAACACGCATGTTTTTTCAGCAGTTTGACCTGAAATGTTTGAAATAGTTTCTTCACTGTGAATCATTCAGAGAGTCTTAATCCTGAGGAGACCGTGTGACTCGGCTGCTTCTGCAGACTCAGAGCTTTCACAGGAAGCAGCTCGTCAGCTCTTATTTTAGAGTCTCAGCTCTTCCTGAAAGTTGGCAGACAAACTTTCTGACACACGGGTGCATGAAGCAACATCCTGTTCGGAGTTGTATTTAAAATCCCAAGCTAAAGACAAATTCATGTCACAAGTCTTTCTTCAGTCTGACAGGACCTAACCCTAACCCAAAATGTCCTGTCCTTTCTGCCAAAGCAGAATGAAACTTTATAAAGTTCAGAATGCAAGCTGGGATTTTGGCTTCAGTTTGAAGTTCAAGCAACAGAAGAGTTTAAGAGCTTTTTTGGAAGGATGTGTGACTTTATTTTTATAGTTTTCAAACTGAACTCTAATCAGCGAAAGTCTCAGTTTTAGGGACAGACCATCCATCTGAGACAGCGACAGATTTTCGGGCTTCGTTGGAGCCACAGATACTTCCTGTTTCGGACATGAACTATTTCTCCAATCAGGCCCAATCCACATTAGTCTGCACCTGCATGAAGAAAGACCCTGCTCAAACTGGTTTGGTCCACTGAGCTCAGGCTGGATCCTGCATGTTCTTCTGCAGGTATCTGTTTCGGGTTGAGTGGACGTTCGCTGTGATAGGATAGAAGTTCAAGTAAAAGGAAAGACGCAGCTCAGCGTTCGTTGATGCACTCAGAACCTGCAGATTCACAACAATAAGCGGTCACTTCACTGAGCGACCTAATTCTACTGACACGTTCTATTCTGACTGATCTCCTCTGTGCACACATCAAACCGAATGTTACAAAGTCCTTCAGAAAATGCACAATAAAACTAGAGATGGACCGATCCGATATTACGTATCGGTATCGGTCCGATACTGACCTAAATTACTGGATCGGATATCGGAGAAAAATAAAAAATGTAATCCGATCCATTAAATATCACGAAAGCACCTCACAAAACTTGCAACACGCTGTAACTCACCTCAGAACGTTAGCATGTCGGAGCAGTATGCATCATGTGATAGAGCGGCTGTGGCATGCGGGACCTGGATAGCATTTGGAGCTTCGCTAGCAACCCGGCATTTCATCTCCGACAAAGTTATCCCCGAGAGAAGTAAAGCAAGTGTGTAAGTCCATCTCTGAATGTTTGTAAAGCATTCCTGCGTTAAGCTTAACGAGCGACTGCCTCTCGCTCTCTGGCTGCTACTTCAATCATGAAACTGCTTAATGATCAGCTGATCGGCTTTTCTGTCGCGAGTCCGTGTCTCTTGTTTGTTTTTGGCCCACTTTGCACCAGACAGAGGAAACCAGCGGCTGAACAACAGCAGCACGTTTAAGCTTGATCAGCTGTTGTTAGAATGTATTTAATATTACTTTCTACACCAGGATCTTTTTCTATGCAGCTGACGGCTGGTAACTGTGCAGGGGCGGATCTAGCAAAGTTTAGCCAGGGGGGCCGATAGGGCATTAACAGGGAAAAGGGGGGACAAAGACATACTTTTCTTTCTTATTCTCATTTAAAATGTCGAGCTTTTAATTATTTAATATTTATCTGAATCTTACACCCAAAGTTTTAATCTGATGTAAAATGTATAGAAGTCCATTATTGTATATAGTAACTGTTAAGTCTAATATACCCTAGTAAGCTATAGTACTTTTTCCTTTGGGAAGGTACCATCTGTGCAGTCTGCAATTTTGTTGAAGAAAGATGTTGAATCTATTTAATATTTCTTGAAAACGAATTGATTTCTGTGTATTTTTTTTCACACTGCATCAAATTAAGGTTGATTACGTCGATTAAGCATCATGAGGTGGAGCGTGAGGGGTGGTTCCCTATTTTTTATTTATTTATTTTTGTTGTTGCTGGGAGTTGGAACCCTATTAGTTAGGTTGCTTAATATTTATGCTAAGTACTCTTTAAAATACCAGAATAGGGAGGATGGTGTAGGTTTAAGTTTATTAGATTGATCAGTATTGCTGAACTATGAAATATTTTTTTTGCATACAGGTATAACAGAATAGCTTTAGTGTAGTTGTTGTTTTAAACTTGAGTATGAACTTATACAAAATGCAGCAAGATATTTAAAAAACAGGTTTTGTTGATTCAAAAACACTATATCGGATTCATATCGACAAAAAACCAAATTTATGATATCGGTATCGGTATCGGACATAAAAAAGTGGTATCGTGCCATCTCTAAATAAAACACAAGCAAAATGCAGAGTTAACCCTAACATCTGGAATAAAATTCATAAGAACACACTCCACGTTCTCACTCTTCTAGCTTCTCAAACAAAGAGAAGGCTCTTCGTTCGTTTTAAATGTTGAAACACATCTGAGTGATGCTCAGGCTCACGTGTTCTGTCTCTGGATCAGCCCTGCATATCTACACCAGATGTGTATTTTCATATGTGTTGTTCTTTAAATGAAAATCTGCTGACTGACCTCTGACTGTGTTTCAGTGTCAGGCATTTTCACTTTTTACGTCACTGCTTTGATTAAACCAAGAAAATCAAATATTTGAAATATAAGAAGAAAAATTTCATCTTATGCCTTCTGTGTGCGTGCGTATGAGCGTGTATTCATATCTTTGTGGGTAGCAATAATTGGAAGTTTACTACACTTATGGGGACCAAAATCCTGGTCCCCACAAGTCTGAAGGCATGTTTGAGACTAAATGTGTTTTTAGTGTCAGGGTGATAGCTAGGGCTTAGGCTCAAGGTTAGGCATTCATTTTTCATGGTTAGGGGCTAAGGAACGCATTGTGTTAATTACATGTCCCCACAAGATATGAATACCTGACATGCTGTGTGTGTGCATGTGCACGTTACCTTCTTCTTGTCTCTCATAGAGCCTCTTCCTCTCACCATGATCTTACATCCAGTTTCAGCCTCCAGCTGCTTCGCTGTCAGACCGCGAGGGCCCAGAATCCTCCCCACAAAGTTAAACTGACATACACACACAGGTCAGCCTGTTACCATGACAACCTAAGCACTAATCAGCCAATCCTCTTTCAGAAATAGCCATAAATAGTTAGAATGAATCTACTGAGTCATAAAACTTTGAAACAGAACAACACTGATGGAAACACAGGAAATGAATTATTATTGGTGCATCACGATGATCCACACACACAGACATACGTCGGGATGCTCCTTCACGGGGACGTAGAGTTTCTCCTGCAGCTGCACCGTTGGGCCGACAGCGTCCGGCAGCTCGCTGCTCTTCTCCGATCCGTTCAGCGTGTCCGTGTACATGTCCTTCCTCACGCGGCTGATCTCTGAAACACACACACACGCAGGAAGTGGAAAACTGTTCTGCGGTCTGGCCAATCAGAAGCTGATTCTGTTTGGAGTTCGTGGCAGAGGTGAGTGGGACGCACAGGCCATCAGCACTAAAACACCTGCAGCAGGTAAAGAGGAGCTGATGGAGCTCGGAGGGAAACAAACAGCTGGAATCAAACTTAACTGAAAACCGATGTTTCAGCGCGCCGTCTTCAGACTTGTTCTTTATGTTCAGGTTTTCAGCGCTGGAGGCACTGTTCCTCTGCGTTTTGTTTTGCTGCTCACCTTTTCTTTGTGTTTGGAGTAAATCTGATCAGACATTCAGGTTTTATATTTGTAACTGATTTAAAGGTCGTGTTCATATTTTTCCAAACATCACCGTGCGAACCTCTGAAACCTGAGGTGACGATGATGTTCTCACCTGATTCCATCATCTGTCATTCCCGTGTCCTCTTTAGCTTCTTCTTTAGGTGAGATGGATGTGATGGATGATGAAGGTGGAACTGATGATCTGTGTGACTGCTGCTCTCCTCGTGGAGTTTGAACCTTGAAGCAGCCAGACGATAACCTGACCTGCAAACATCGGTCAGCTTTCCCTTCATGTTGAGCCTGATCAGTGAACAGCTGAGTGTAATAATGTTCATGTTTCACAGATCAAGCTCAACTGAAGAGAACACTTTAACCTGTGTGGTTTCTTAGTCTTCTAGGTCCTGCAACTCCTTAAGTTCTTAAGTTTAAGGCATTTGGAGGTTCTTGCAAATGTTTCACTGGACAGAACGATGTGGTGTCTCGGGTCTTTGTCCTCTGGTAGGCTTGTCCTCTCGGGGGTCATCCTCACAGTTGCTGACCCACCCTGTAATCATGTGAGTTATGGGTCAAGCTGTGAGTTGGTGTCGAACCACCTGAGAGGAGGTCTGAAGACTGTGTTACAGGCGGCTGATTGCTGATGGGTCCCCCCTCTGTGGAGACCACCATCCACCTTTACTGCAGTTATAACGGTTGGTGTTCTCGGTCCTTTCTCCTTTACAGAGCCGCAGCTTTATCACTGTGATAACTTTGACAGATTTGGTCCTGCAAATGTTTAACACTGGGACATGTCTGGTTACAAAATAAAGCAAAAAAGCAAAACAACATGTGACAACAATCATTTGACATCACCCTGCAGACGAAGACTTAGGCCAGCAGACCTTTGGAGAGGTCTGTAGTTAGAAACCAGCTAAAAACTCTGTGTTATAGCAGCTAGCTGTGGGGTTCCTCAGGACTCCTGTGTTGCTTCTGTATTCTTTCATGTGCATGTTTTTAGCATGTTGGTTTAACATGTGGCATTGAACGTGTGTTTAAGCTGCAGCTCAGCTCTTTGTTTCTGTCTTGAAACAGCAGCAAGTAGGGACGTGAAACCAGTGCAGCTTTCACAGGAAGTTGCAGTATCCCAGGTAACTGTTTCCATGATGATCGCACATCTTATACTGACCACCACCCCGGTAAGATTTATTTCTCCCTCGCAATGCATGCTGGGAGACTTTATGAAGCTGTCTGTGTGGTGATTCAGAGCAACAAAACAGCCCTCACCATCAGCCAATCAGGAGCTAGGAGTGCGCACACACACGCACATGCGCGCACACACACACACACACACGAACATGCAACTCTGAGTTCTGAGTTCATCCTCATGTCAGACGGCTGTTTGCAGCAGACGTCTGTGAGCAGGAAACAGGAAACAAGCAGCTGCACAGGTAGGAAACACCTGAGCATCTCCTCAGCAGGTTAGAAACACACTAACCTGCTGGTTAGCATCAGAGACTTTCCATCACATCAAGTGAGCTCCTCACAGTCTGCAGCTCCTGCAGCATCACGGCCACAATAACCAGCAACATGGGAGCAGGCAACCCGCCCTCAGGACCAGTGTTGGTCAAGTTACTTGAAAAAAGTAATCAGTAACTAATTACTGATTACTTCCCCAAAAAGGAACCCTCTTACTTTACTGATTACTTATTTTCAAAAGTAATTAATTACTTAGTTACTTAGTTACTTTTTAAAAACACGATTTACAACCTGAACAGGTGATAAAGCGATAGATCTTTCAGCCCAATTCTACTTTTTCTACATAATCCATCATACAAAATGTAATCAAATGGAAAAGTCTCTTTTTAAAACTTGTTTTATTAGTTTTAACCTTTTAACTTTATGCATCAAGCAAAAATTTAATTATATGCAACATTCTGACTGGAAGAAATTAGTTTAACATTTAAACCTATTTTCTGCACATTCCAGCTCATAAAATAAAATATTTTTTGTGTTTACACTCAGTCTTTCAAATAGATGCAAGTAAAACACAGCAGAAAATAAATAAAGTCAAAGACTCAGCGGTCCTGTTGCTCTATTTTCACCTGTAAAGCAGGAGTGGGGCAGGCGGAGGGTTACCCTGGTGCAGGTGTGCCGCGGTCAGTGGAAGAATCCGCGAGTTTCTCTGAGTTTCCCATTACGTCGTAGCTACTCGGTGCTTGTTGGAAGTTTAGGGTTTTTTTCGCTGTAAAAAGAAGTTTTCTTCCCACGCACAGCAGACACTAATGTTTTTGTCACTTTTTATGGAATCAAACTCAAAGTAAGGTCAGTACTTCCACGCTTTAAACGCTGCACGCTCATACTCTCCCGCACTCGATATGTGATCCACTGTTGATCTGCACACAGCTGTTGTCACGGACGTCGCGCTCGCTTACGTCACTGTCATGAGACAGACAAAAATCACGGTTTTAGTAACGCAGTAACGCAGCGTTCCTACGGGAAAGTAACAGTAATCTAATTACCGTTTTTGCAATAGTAATCCCTTACTTTACTCGTTACTTGAGAAAAGTAATCAGATTACAGTAACGCATTACTGCCCATCTCTGCTCAGGACACACCTCCAAAATAAACCAACGTGCTTTCAGTCCGCCTACAACATTCACTTCAATGTCAATGCCCCGAGTCATGGCGCAGAGGAGGAGATCACCAGTCATGAAAGGTTATCGTATAAGCACCATGTCCTCACATCGTCTCTTCGTCACCCTCATTGTCGCCCTGATTCCAACGTGAACCATCACAGAGGTCTTCAAAGGATCATCTTACACTGAGGAGTCAACACAGAGACCTAACAGGCAGGAACGTCCTCTCTACAATGGTTAAAATGGGATGTTGGTCCTCACAAAGTCAGACAGACACACACACACTGGTACTAGTGGTTTTACTGTCTGAGGCTATTACAGCAGGGACGCCAGCCAGAGGGGATTCTGGGTAAATTGATTTTCTTCTCTCTCTCTGACTGACACACACACACACACACACACACACACACACACACACACACACACACACTTCATCTGAGCTTTTGAATTAATTGATTAGACCAATTAAATGATGAATAGCTGCACTTAGTGTAATTGAGACGCACACAGAGGACAGAAATAAAGAGGAGTAAGGTTGCATACTGTGGTGTGTTCAGGTGCTGTTGGAAAAGCAGTGTTCAGACACATGCCACAATTCTCCCTAGCGTCAGGTCTAGCCATCCAATCACAGCGCACTTTCTACATCAGTAACTCACAGGTAATCAACACACCTGACACGTTGGCCATGTTGGTCCGAGTTCACAGGACTCTACTGTAAACGAACCTAACTGTTATTAAGTGTTTATTAGGTAAATACCCCCTGTGGCCATCTAGTGAAATGCAGTCTAACCCTAGCATCTACAACCCGGCTCTAAAAAAGCTCACTCGCTGAGAAAATGTAAATGTAAGCAGAATATTGAGTCATATTTCATTATCTATAGAAATCAAGTGTTTAAACTGAGGAAATCATTTCACCGTTTTAATATAAATATCAGATATATTTGAATTGTCTCCAAAAAGCCTGGTGTTTAGCAGCCAATCAGGTGAGCGGGCAGCAGGTCAGTCTCATGACTGGGTATAAAAAGAGCTTCTTGGAGGGCGTGTGCTGTACAGACGTGTCTATATCCTGCACACCTGAGTGTCAGTGTAGTGATAGCAAAGCTCATCTGGGCATGTGTGGCTAACTTACAGATAGCCGGCCAGCCTCAGCGTGCTCGAAGTATGAACTTCATGGAAAAGCAGATCACCTGACAGAGACACAGGTGAGCTAATGTGAGACAGGTGGACGTCTGCTGCATCAGTCTGCAGATCAATCGACCCTCACTGACCATGAGCTTCTTGTATTTCAGTCCTTCTCAAACTGTGAAACTTTATTCAAACATTCACACCTGTAGAAAACATCTGTGCGCACACAAACTGAACCAGATGTTCTCATTCCTCCACCTCGCTGTCCGCTGGAGCACTGCCACATAATGTCAGCAGTCACATGACCACAATAACCTCACAGCAGCCCAGAAGGCTCCAACAGCACAAACACAGCCGAGGTCCAGTTCAGGAGAAGCTAGCAGACAGCAACAAGAGCCGCCTGTGTCCCATCCACCTGTCAGTCACAGAGGCCATGCCCCTAATAATGCAATGAGGCTGTAAAGTGACTGAGTTGGATTCTTACTGATTAGTGAAAATTGTGGGTGGGGGTCAAACGTGCCAGCTCACCCATTTGTTTTTTAATCTTTCTGATCAATGAAATCAATAAATGATGATCAGTTATTAAAATCCATGATCACTAAAGTATGATACGTTACTCGAGTATGCTTCAGACAGTACTTTTACTCTGAAAACACATAGCACACTTTCTGACAGTACTTACTGCAGTACATGTAGTACTGCCAGCACTTTAACTTGTAGAAGTTTTCAAAGAAAAAGTATCAGGATGGTTTCAGTAAACTTTTCCTTTGATTTAAACCCTCTCGCGCGCGTGCGGGTCTCACCTTCGTCCAGGAGCCTCTCCAGGTGCTGGAAGATTCCGCAGAAGTTCGGCAGACCGCTCATCAGCTTCTTGTCGTTCATGAGTTGCATCAGGTAATCCGGACCGGGTCTGGGCTTCTCCCTCCCCTCCATCCTCCCCACCACGACCCGCCGAACTACACGGATCCGGACCGCAGCGGACTGCACGGCATCAGCATGAATCCAGACCCGCTCCAGACACGGAGGCGCCTTGAGTCCCGCACGCTCGGCTCCGAGTCCGGGTTTAACGCTCCAGCTGCTTCGGCTTTGCCCGGCTCTCCGCCCTCCGCTCCGCGCAGAACAGCGCTGTGTGTCGGCCAGCAGCGGCTCTGAGCCTCCGCTCCGCGCACACGGGGGGGCTTCAAAATAAAACTCTAACTAACTAACTAACTAACCAAATAACTAACTAACTAACGTGTGTGTGGTATTTTGTTCCCAGGCGTCACCATCAATAAAGCTGCTCCGTTTGAACGTGTCCCTCTAAATAGTTTTATTGGTTTTAATGGTTTTTTTCACATGGAAATGAGTCTCGTCCGCCTCCTCCTCTTCCTCTCCCTCTTCATCACCCACCTCCTCTCCAGAGCCTGGGACTCACAGAAGAACAAAGGAGGGGAAAACAAAAACTTTTCTTCTTTGTGAGTTTGGCTGAAAATCGCTTTGGGTGATGAAGAGCAGGAGGGAAATGAAGAGGAGAAGCGTGATGAAGAGGAGCAGGTGCAGCTGCTCCTCAGAGCAGCTCATGAAGAGTTTAAGGGTTGATCCGTCACCTCCGTGAGGAGGTGTTTACTTCCTGTAATGAAGGCATCCTCACCGTCGTGCTCACCTGTACACTTACCTCAGGGGTTGGATCATAAACACATCTAAAACCTGCAGGATCCCGGCCCTCGAGGCCTGGAGTTGGACACCTGTGCTCTACTAGCTCTGAGTTAACAATTACTGAAAGTAGTTTTTTCCTTGCCTGCCCAGCCCTTTCCTGGTGTGGACCCAAAGTTTTTGTGTATGTGTGGCGTCCCGCCTGTGCTCCTCAACAATAATATTTAACTTTTAATCACAGTTCTGCTAAATTAAAGGATCTTTCTTGCATCTGTCACATGATGACCATTAACCAGTGATCGCTCTTGACTGCAGATACGAGTCGGGAACCAGCTCGCAAAGAGCCCCTACATGTTTTGACACTTGAGCTGTGAGGAGTTGTGAGAAACAGAAAGTAACTGGGAGACGCAGACTGAGGCAACAGAAACCAGTAAGTAGGTGAATAGCCTACACTGTAGTCTACAAAACACAGGAGTGTTAGCTTATTATGGACACGTGGGTCAGCTGTTCTGTGGAAACATGGTGTGTGTGCCTGTACATTACCTGTCCTTTATTACCTGCACACGTGTCCTGGTCATTAGCTGCTAGCTAACTGTGTAAGGCTGTCATGGATCTGCAGCTCTGTCCACCATCTCAGGGAACAAGTTTAAGAAATCTTATCGAGTGATATATCACATGAGAGGAGAGAGCTACCGCACAGATTTTCATTATTTTAATATGATGCTCTACGACGTTACAACGATACCAGAAAGTTCCTCAAAATTACACACAGCACAGATAAAATCTCAAAATTTTATAGAAGCCAAACATTTCAGCAGATTTTGCTCCAAGCATATGTGTAAATATCATAAAACTGGATAATAAAACGGAGGCTGCTCAGCCTGAGCTGAAGGCTCTGAGTCTGAACAGACAAAAAGTCACCGTTGTGGTTTTAGGACGTCTTTCAGCTGGTGGAGGTCAGTCGGGTGGACAAACAAGCCCATCTGGGGTCAGCTGACAGGGTCACGTGACCAGAGCCTGGACGACCTGTTACGAGTGGAACAATGAAAGTTTTCTCTGACGGACAAACAACAGAGTGAGAGTGTGTGAGCGCAGGCGAGGTGTGTGTGTCCACTGGTTTCATCAGGAGGTCACTCCAGTTTCTCCCCTTTACTTTGATCACATGATCAGAGCACCACATTGTCAGCTGAGCACTGACGAGTACTACAGACTACTTCAGTGTACTGAGAGGTACTACAGGGAACCACAGTGTAACAGAGATTTATGCAGTACTTGTACTGGCATTTTGTTTTCGGATGAATTTCTGGAACGACAGAAATCTGCGGACCTCTCTGCCCACTCTGATTGGTGGGAACAAACAACATCGCTGTCATGTGACCTTTAGGAGACCTTCAGACTGCGTAGGTCACACTGACCTCAGATCATAAGGTCAAAGGTCACGGTGATAGAATCACAGCCTCCTCTGTCTGCATGGGGTCTGTTCTGAGCTGGCTTGAGCTTCTTCTGCTTCTCCTTCGGTTCGATCCACACTGTGGACAAGCGCACGCACCTGTGACTCACCTGTGCACAGATGCTCTCTGTCATCAGGCTCTCTGAACGCTGACTCAGTGAAGCCCTTTCATATCCACAGCCTTCAGTCTCATCTTTAGAGGAAGGTTTAAAAGCTCAAAGACAGACATCAGCAGTCTTCTTGTGGTGTGTGTGTTTGTGTGTGTATGTGTGTCACAAAATGTACTTGATAATGAGGGTGGGAAGTTGCAATAATCCCCCCAAGGACCAGAAGCAGACAGAAATGGACCCAGGAAAATCGGACCATCCGCAGCCACCAAGAGTACCGAAGACCCGAAGCCACACATCTCTGCGATATCCACCTGCCTATCCCAGCAGGAGAAGGAGGGAGGCTCCAGATGGGGTGGCAGTCCCAGACAACCAGTGGCGAGAGCAGCCGAACTCGCCAGAGGACAGCCACCCCAGTGCGAGCCGGAATCAGGGTTCCAGGGATCCAGGCACCTATAAACCGCCCGGTACCTGGCAGGTACCTGGGAGCCCCCTCCCAACATATTTAAGATTGAATCATTAACTAATGGCAGGACTTCAGACATGAGAATGACACCAACAGAATGATCTGCCATTTGACTTTCTTACTTTTCCCTATGAAGCACCGTTGCCTGTGGGAGGGCTTCCAGGAGATTCCACAGCTGTTTCGGTGCAGGTTCATCCATCCATTCTTTTCCACTTATCAGGGTCGTGGGGCATGGGGGGGCTTACCAAAGGCTGAGAAGCAGGGTACACCTTGGATAGGTCGCCAGTCTGACGCAGGGCTAACACAGACAGCCATTCACACCTACGGGTAATTCCAAATCATCGATTAAACTAACCCCACTAACTGTGTGTGTTTAAACTGTGGAAAGGCCCGGCCACATGGTGCTTTATATTCTAAGGTAAAGCAAGCATTTGGTGACAGTGGGAAGTAAAATCTTCCTTTTAACAAGAAGAAACCTCCGGCAATACCAGGCTCAGCGAGGGGTGGGCGTGGTTACAGGAGGGAGATAATAATAATAATAATAATGGATTGGATTTATACAGCGCTTTTCAAGGCACCCAAAGCGCTTTACAATGCCACTATTCATTCACTCTCACATTCACATACTGGTGGAGGCAGCTACAGTTGTAGCTACAGCTGCCCTGGGGCAGGCGAGGCTGCCATATCGCTCCATCGTCCCCTCTGGCCAACACCAGTAGGCGGTAGGTGTCTTGCCCAAGGACCCAACGACCGAGACTGTCCGAGCCGGGGCTTGAACCAGCAACCTTCCGATTACAAGACGAACACACAATCGCCACGATCGCCCCTAGATAGGCGATTTAGTCATTATCATACCTGCACACACCTGCACAGGTGCGGCTCTGCAGGAATCATTGACAGAGTCAAACTGAGTTAAAGCTCAGTCAGCAGCTGTAGTACTGCACAGAGTACTGCAGTACTGTAGTGTAGTGCTGGGTGTCATACAGTGTATGATACAGTATATAGTAGTAGTACTGGTAGCTCTTTATGTGTTGACTGTCCAGGTTCAGTTTGTGAGGACGTGCAGTGAGCATTCCTGCTCCCCTGCGTGCCTACCCTCTCTGGGACTCCTCCTCCTCCTCTGATGGACGAAGGAGGTCCTGGGAAAAGGTCGTGGTTTTTGGTTCAGACTGATTACCAACCCCACAAATCACCACAGACACTTTCATTAAAGGAGCAGCTCCTCTAAGCTGAGGAGGCCGAAGAGGAGTCAGGGAGACGCCACCACGTCTTCCTCTTCGTCCTGCTCCTTTCACATTTTCTCCCACAGTCGGGCCTTTTAGGAGTCCTGGATCAGCTCTGGCTGTTTGGGTTCAGTCCAGACCTCCGAGCTGTTTGAAAGGAGGCCGGAGCGCACCCCCGCTCCCCCTCCTCCTCCTCCCGTTGTCAGCAGCTTTAGACTCTCAGAGCGTCTTTCAACAGGGAAGAAAAGAAAACGGTCTTCATGAAGAAGGCCGGCTGGTTTCAGGAAGTAAGGGGGGGCACAGTGAAGGAGTCTTTGTGTCGGCTGTTTTCCGCCCAGCGACCACCGATTCATATTCAAATGGAGTTCTGAATGGACACACACAATGATGTCATTCGAAAGAAAGAGAGAACTCAGTGGGAAGAATGTCATGTGACATGTTAGTCACATGACGTTCTACAGAACAGAACCATCTGTACAGCACCTCCTCAGTGGTCCAGCTGCCTCAGCCAGCTCTGATTGGATGATCTGGGGTTTTATCAGGTGGGTGGAGCCACCAAAATTGACTGAAACCTATTGGTTGGTTTCTTGATGACCTTTGACCCTGCACAAACAGTGTTACTGAGGAACAGAATGAAGCTTTTTAGGACGCCCGTCCTGATAAAGCCTCCCTCCTGTCCCAGCAGCAGGGAGAACACGTTCAAGGTTGAAGGTTCTTTATTTGTCACATGCATAGTTATACAAGTATAACACACAGTGAAATGTAGCCTGACACACTCCTCGACATGCGCAAAAATGGGGGGGGGGGGGGAGAGGAAGAACATTATATATATATAGTATATACACTGGGTGAATGTGCAGTAGTAGCAGCAAGCAGGTGAATTCTGTACATTAATATGAATAGATATCTGACTATTTTACAGGATAGACAATATAAACATATTTAAAATTAAAGGAATTGAAATGTACATTGTGCCTTGGTTTAGTGTCTGGAAGAGTCCTGTCTCAGTCAATTATAGATGATGTGAGAGGGCGGGTGTGTGTGTTTAGGGCACGGATGGCTTGAGGATAGAAGCTCCTCTTGAGTTTCTCTGTCCTTGCCCGGAAGATGCGGAACCTTCTACCAGATTGCAGAAGTTGGAACAGTTTGTTGCCAGGATGGGACGGGTCCTTCAGTATCTGCGCTGCTCTAGTCCGGCATCTCCTGGTGTAGGTGTCCTGAAGCGGGGGGAGAGCAATCCTGCAGCAGCGTTCTGCTGTACGGATCACTCTCTGGAGAGCTTTTTGGTCCTTCACACAGCTGTTCCCAAACCACGATGT